GAGAAGGAGGAGGAAGAGAAGAAATAGAAGAAGAAGGCAAAAGAGGAACAAAGAAGGACACTACATAATGATAAATTATGAGAAATCCAACAAGATAAATGAGAAATCCAACAGGAGGATATAATCCTTGTAAACAATTATGCACCCAACATAGGAGTACCTGAATATATAAAGCAAATCTTAATGGACGTAAGGGGAGAGAGCAACAGTAATACAATCATAGTAGGGGATATTAACACACCACTGTCATCAGTGAATAGATCTTCCAGACATAAAATCAATAAGAAAATAGCAGTCTTAAATGACAAACTAGATCAGATAGATTAAATGATATCTTCAGAGCATTTTACCCCAAAGAAGCAGAATATACATTCTTTTCAAGTGCACATGGAACATTTTCTAGGATAGAGCTCATGTTAGGACACAAGACAAGTCTCAGTAAATTTAAGAAGATTGAAATCATATCTTCTCTGACCTCAATGATATAAAATCAAAAAACCAATCACAAGAAAAAAAAAAAGAAAAACACATAAAGACATGCAAGCTAAATAACATGTTACTAAACAATGAATGGGTTAACCATGAGATCAAGGAAGAAATCAAAAGATACCTCGAAACAAACAAAAAGAGAACACAACAATCCAAAATCAATGAAACACAAGGAAAGCAGTCCTAAGAGGGAAGTTCATAGCATTACAGGCCTACCTCAAGAAACAAGGAAAATTCTCAAGTAAACAATCTAACTTTACACATAAAGGAACTAGAAAAATAACAACAAACAAAGCTCAAAGTGAGTAGAAGGAGGAAACAAAGATCAGAGCAGAAATAAATGAAATGGATTCAAAAGTATATATACATATATATATAAAAGATCAATAAAACCAAGAGCTGGTTCTTTGAAAAGATAAACAAGACAAACAAACCTTTAACAAAACTCATCAAGAAAAAAAGAGAGAGGACCCAAATAAATTAAATCAGAAATGAAAGAGGAGAGGTAGCAACTGACCCCATAGAAACACAAGAGATTGTAAGAAAATATTACAAACAACTATATGCCAACAAATTGGACAATCTTGATGAAATTGTTAAATTCCTAGAAACAGATAATCTTCCAAAACTGAATCAGGAAGAATCAAAGAATCTGAATAGACCAATTACAACTAATGAAATCAGTATTAAAAAAGCAGTAATAAAAAAAATTCTCAACAAACAAAAGTCTTGAGCTGGATGGCTTCACAAGTAAACATACCAAACATTCAAAGAAGAACCAACACCTATTCTTCTCAAATTATTTCAAAAAATTCAAAAGGAGGGAAGACTCCCAAGCTCATTATACAAAGCCAGAATTATCCTCATTTCAAAACCAGATAGGACACTAGAAAGAAAGAAAATTATAGGCCAATATGCCTGATGAACATAGATGCTAAAATCCTCAACAAAATATTAGCATACCAGATCCAGCAATATATTTAAAATATCATACACCATGATCAAGTGGGCTGTATTCTGGAGATTCAAGGTGGGTATAATATCTGCAAATCAATAAATGTGATATATCACATAAACAAAATGAAGGATAAAAAATCTCATGATCATATCAATAGATGCAAAAAAAAGCATTTGTTAAAATCCAGTACTCATTTATGATAAAAATTCTCAGCAAAGTTGGAATAAAGGAAACATACCTCAACATACTAAAGGTCATATCTGACAAACCCACTGCCAACATCATATTCAAGGGGCAAAAAATAAAAGCATTTTACTTAAGATTAGGAACAAGACAGGGATGTCTGCTTTCACCAGTCTTATTCAACATAGTATTAGAAGTTCTGTCCACAGCAATCAGACAAGAAGAAATAAAAGGCATCCAAATTGGAGAGGAAGAAATAAAACTGTCATTACTTGCAGATAACATGATACTGCATATAGAGAACCCTATAGATTCCACCAAAAAACTACTAGAACAGATTAATGAATTCAGTAAAGTAGCAGGATATTTTACAATGTATTTTACAGGATATATTATACAAAATAAATATCCATAAATTAGTTGCATTATTATACACCAATAATGAACTGTCTCAAAGATAAACTAAGACATAAAATCAATAAAATGTAAATTTTATTGATTTACAATTACATTAAAAAATTTACAATTACATTAAAAATACTTTTGAATAAATGTAACCAAGGAGGGAAAAGACCCATACTTGGAAAATTATAAGGCACTGAAGAAGGAAACTGAAGAAGATAGAAATAAGTGGGAGCATATGCTGTGCTCATAGATAGGAAAAATTAACTTTATTAAAATGTTCATACTACCTAAAGCAATCTATAGACTCAATGCAATCCCTATCAAGATACCAATGGCACATTTCACAGAACTAGAACAAATATTCCAAAAATTAAATGGAACCACAAAAGACCCTGAATAGTCATAGCCACCTTCAGAAAGAAGAATAAAGTTGGAGGAATCATGCTACCTGATATCAAATTATACTACAAGGCCATAGCAATCAAAACAGCATGGTACTGACATAAAAACAGACACATAGATCAATGGAACAGAATAGAGAATCGAGAAATAAAACCAAGCTTTTATGGTCAATTAATATTTGACAAAGAAGACAAGAACATACAATGGAGTAAAGATAGTGCATACAATAAATGGTGCTGGGGAAAATTGGACAGATACATGCAAAAAAATGAAAGTGGATCACTTTCTTACCCCACACATAGAATTAACTCAAAATGGATTAAGGACTTAAATGACTCAAAACCATAAAAATTCTAGAAGAAAACATAGGCAGTAAAATCTCAGACATTTCTCCCAGCAATATTTTTTTTCTGATAATGTCTCCTCAAGCAAGGGAAACAAATGAAAAAATAAATAAATGGAACTATATCAAACTAAAAAGGTTTTGCACAGCAAAAGAAACCATCGAACTAAAAAGACAACCCATTGAATAGGAGAACATATTTGTCAATGATACATTGATAAGAGGTTAATATACAAAATTTATAAAGAATTTATAAAACTGAACACCAAAAAAAGCAAACAATGCAATTAAAAAGTGGGCAGAGGACCTAAGTAGACACTTCCCCAAAGAGGACATACAGATGGTCAATAGGCATATGAAAAGATACTCAGGTCACTAATCACCAAAGAAATGCAAATTAAAACCATAATTAGATATCACCTCACACAGAACAACTTCAGTAATAAATCAATAAACAACAAGTGTTGGCAAGGATGTGGAGAAAAGGGAACCCTCACACACTGTTGGTGGGAATGCAGATTGTGCAGCTACTGTGGAAAATAACATGGAATTTTCTCAAAAAATTAAAAATGAAACTCCTCATGGCCCAGCAAATTCCACTTCTGGGAATATATCCAAAGAAACTCAACGCACTGATTCCAAAGAATACATACACTCCTATGTTCATTGCAGCATAATTTACAATAGCCAAGATTTGGAAGCCACCCAAGTGCCCATCAGTAGATGAATGGATAATAAAGCTGTGGTATATTTACACAATGGAATACTACTCAGCCATAAAAAATAAGGAAATCTGACTGTTTGGGACAGTGTGGATGGACCTGGAGAGTATTATGCTAAGTGAAATAAGCCAGTCAGAGAAAGACAAGTGCCATATGATTTCATGTATATGTGGACTCTAATGAACAAAATAAACAAAATAGAAATATACAGAAAACAGACTGACAGCTGTTAGAAGGGAGGAGGTTTAGGGGTTTGGGTGAAAAAGGTGAAAAGATTAAGCAAAAACAAAACAAAACCTCATAGGCAATGAGTTGTCATGGCAACTAGACAACAGCATAGTTATTACCAGAGGGAAAGGGCAGGTGGGGAGATAGAAGAGTTTAAAGGGGGAATAAATGGTGACGGAAGGACACTTGACTTTGGGTAGTGAACACACAATACAATATACAGATAAAGTATTATAGAATTGTATACTGAAACCTATATATATTTTTATTAACCAAATACATTCAATAAATTTTTTTAACTGTAAAAAAAAAAAGTGAGGATGGACAAAGTATGGTATTATCTCCAAATCAGCCGTTCTCAAACTTGGGCATGCATAAGTATATGCAAAAATGCAAAAAGTACATGAGGAATGCAAAGAATACATTTAAATTGTAATTCTGATTCAGGTAGTTTCTGAAATACAGAGAACTTTTCTAGTCCAAAAGAACTGAATGATTTGATTGCCCTCTTAATTGGGGAAAGAGAGAGACATAACCTGTCATAACCTGGTTGCATGGGTATCTAGAAAAAAAAAAGCACCACTTCATCTCTCTCCTTCCCTTCCCCAGCCAACTGCCTAGGAAAAGTGGAGCTGTGTTTTGGGTCTGGGGGAGATAGCATGGCCTCAAAACAGTGCCGGACACATTCTTTCTCTCATTCCACTGCCAGGGCACTGAACTCCTCTTTAGCCTAATTTAGCAGAAATTTCCAGAATATTGTGAAAAGTGTTGGAGTGAAAGAAACTGCTTCTTGAACTGTGTTCTGCACCAAAAAAGGCAACCTCAGTGCACTCCCAGAGTGTTTCTAAGCCTCGTAGAGAAACTTCCTCTTTGAAAACATTGGCCCAGAAATCCCTGGGTGAGATTACTTCCTGTACAAAGCATGATACTAGCAGCCACTTGGCAGATGCATGGAAAGCTAGAACAGGCCAGGGGAGCCAGGGAGTGAACCTGGACACTCCCGCTCAAGGCCTTCCATTCCTTCTGCTATTAAAGACCAGCCAGGCTGTCACTACCAGCTAACCTGCCTGTGTAGGGAAAGACCAGCTCCCAAAGTCTGCAAAGCAAGTCCTCTGGGAGGCTGTGGTACAATTGGCACTAACTGGGCACCAGCTCATGGACTTGACTTTGTTACAGTTCCTATTTTTAACTCTACCAATCACCCCATTCTGTGTTGAAAGCAGACAGCTTCTCACGGACCCAACCTGAGCCAGGCTGAAGGGCCTAGGAGTCAGGGCACTGTCCGCTCCCAGAGTCGCTCTCGAAGCAGCCACTGTCCTTTGGGGTTTTCTGTCTCGAAGTAGTCCTCCCCGGGAGATGCCAGCGTCTCCAGCGCAAAGAGCTCCGCATCCCATTCCATGTCTTCTCTGGAGAAGTTGCAGAGGATCCGTCTGGAGCTCCCCAGGCTGGAGGGAGGAAGGCAGCAGGGAGGTTACGTTTGGCTTGGCCAGCTGCACAGGAGGGATGCTCTGATTTAGCGCTCCAGTGGAGGCCATTAGATACTCCCCCAGTGCTGGGCCTTGTGGGGGACAAAGCAGTGTTATTATGGGGACTGTGGATGGACCTCAGCTGGACCTCAAGCTGGGCTTGAAGGAGAAAGGTGGGTGATGAGGGCTGGGCCTCGGTTTTAGTACATTCTGTACGTGGTTCATTATTATGGGAGGAAAATGCTATTTAGAAACACCCCTGAATCCACCAGAGTTGAATGGCTCTTGTAAAAACAAAGAGAAATGAGTGGATGCGTGTAGATGGAACCCCAAGGTGGGGTTCCCCAGTGTGGCCTGGGTTGGCCAGAGCAAGACAGCACTTACTGCTCTGAATGAGCAGGTCACAGGAATTTGGGGCTAGAGACGGTCACTAGTCTTGGGAGAGAAGGACGTAGAGAGAGGGAGGTTGAGAAATGTTGACAAGAGGGGTCCAGCCAGCAAGTTCTCCCCGTGAGCCTGGCCAATGCCTCTCTAAGGCAGGGCACCTGATCGGTTCGATGTTGGTTCCAGCTTGGTGCTATGCACTCTTCAACCCCAAACTCTCATTAAAAATGTGCAGCATGCAGTGTGTCTGTGGCCTTTAGGGGAAACAAGGAAAGAGGATGGCACAGAGCAGGAGGACTAAGTAGGCCAGAAGGAAAGGGAGGCAGATCCAGAGCTGAAGCAACAGTCAGGAGTGGTGACAACAGTGAACCAGGCTAGTGTATATAATAGAAAACATTTTTAAACTAAGACTTCCATCCAAAAAAAAAATACACAAGAATAATTTTTAGCATATAGGATGGGGGCTCAAGGCAGCTTAAAATCCCAGGAGTCTGGAGGACATGAAAACATTTTGGTTATACTCTGTGGCCCAAGCACTTACTCTTTTTTGCAGGCTTTGGGCTTAAATTTCAACGTGCTGAATGCCCCTTCCACAGCCTTGGGCAAGTAAATGGGGTGCCTCTCAAGTCTCCTCTGAGTGCCAATGGTCCTACGCTCCGTGCTTTTTCGAAACTGGCCGTCTGTCGTGTGTATGGTGTGTACAGCCATGTCCTCAGAGTGCCGGCGTGGCACCCGCAGGATCCAGTTGGAGTGCAAGCTGTGCTCCCGGGAGCTGGTGGCCACTGGAAGAGAGAAACAGGGTCCCTGGAAAGGAGGACTCACCATTGGGAGGAGCAGAGGCAACAGAAAGTGTGAACAGGGTTGAGAACTTAAAACAAATGCATATACACAGCAGTGAATTCCTAGGAAGGACTGGAGAACCAAGCAAAGGGGCTGATTTGACTCTGAAATTATGGTGTAGGAATACAATGGAAAATTGTGTGTCAATTAAAAAGAAGAACATACAGCCCTGGCGGGTGCGGCTCAGTTGATTGAACCAAGAGGTCGCTGGTTTGATTCCCAAACAGGGCACATGCCTGGGTTGGGGGCTCAATCCCCAGTATGGGGCGTGCAGGAGGCAGCTGACTGAAATTTCTCATCAATGTTTCTCTCTCTCTCCCTCCCTCTTTCTTTCTTCTCCCTCTCTCTAAAATCAATTAAAAATATGTAAAAATAAGAACATAGGTCTATATTTACTAACTTGGAAAGATGCCAATGTTGTATTGTAAATTCTTAGGTGAAAAGAGCAGATGAGATCCTATTTTTGTTTTGAAAAAATAAAGTGAGTCTGTATTTTTGTTTAAAACCTTTTTGAAAAGACATACACCAAAATGTTAATAGTGATTACTATCTCTGGGTAATAGTATTATAGACCATATCTTTACTTTCTTCTTTATGCTTCGATGTATTGTTTACTCATTTGATTTATAATATGTTACAATTATTATTAGAGAAAAACCATAAAGCCATTTTCAAAACAACTATGAAGATGACACTTGTCCTCAGTGGGTTTTGTTGTCCTCTCACCAATGTCCTGGATTCCTAGGTTTGACTCCCCGGGAGTGGGCCGGCCTTTGTCAGGGACTGAAGGGGCTTGTGAGAGAGGAGGGCAGACAGCTGCCCTGCAGGGTACAATGAGCTTGGAGAGCAGGAGTAACCTGGGAAATTCCACAGAACTCAGTGAGAACAGAAACCTCACAGATTAAGGTCAATCAAAGCCAGAACAAGAATATAATATTTTGATAATTAAATAATTAAGAACAATTTAGTATTAGTGCCAAAAGTTGATATCTCAGTGAGACCTAAATAAAACCATCGTTAATTACCTGATGGGAGGCAAGTCAAAGATTAAAAAACTGGAGTAATGGAATTTAAAAGTGGGCTCAACTCATGGACATGGTTGAATTCTTTGCTCTCCACCAGCAGAGAGCCGTGACATACCTAGACAGGGAGAAAAGTATCACCCTGTCCTCACCTCGCTCCCTCTCCAGGCTCCATGCCAGGCCTGGACAAGCTCCCTGGCCCTCTCTTGCCCTACACATCCTCGTGGTGTGGTGGCTCATGAGGGCCACAGAGGTAGTGCTGGGGGGAGGGGTGCAGAGGGATGACAAAGTGGGTGAAGGGTCAGAGTTGTATCTAACAGCTGGTGCTGCCCCATGGCCATGCTAGCTAAGGGAGGGCCAGAAGTTAAATTTTCAAATATGATTTGCCCTCTTTTCTTTCTTTTTTAAAAAATTGTAGTAAAATACAAATAATGTAAAATTTACCACTTTAGCCATGTTTTAGTGTACAGTTTAGTAGTGTTGAATATATTTGCATTAAGTGACTGATCTCCAGAATTTTTTTCATCTTGCAAAACTGAAACTCTATACCCATTTAACAGCAACTCCCCATCCAATGCCTTCATTTAACCATTTTTCTATTACTTTAGCTCATGGACTCTTACAAAAGTGTCACCTTGTCTCAGCTGTGGCAACAGACCACAGGAAAGGAGTTTTTGCCCAAATATGGCCTCAGGTGTTAAAGGGGCAGGCTGAGGCAGTGTCAGCTGAGAAAACTAAAGCAAAGCACCCCCAAGAGAAGTACAAGCTCAGGGCCAGGCTCTGGCTTGCAGATGTGTTTCCCTGTCATGGGGAGGTAGGATTCCTGATAGCCCATCTTATAAGTCCTCTTCAGAGACTACAACCCACCCACCTTCTGCCCCCAGGATGGCACTCACCATCAAAGTCCACATCTTCATTTGGGGGGTCTGTCTCAGCAGTCCGTGGCCGTTTCTCTGTATCCAGCTCTGCAATGATGGAGTCAAAGAAAGCGATGGCCTCTGCCACATCTGCGCTGAACTGCCAGTATTTCTTGGGGGTTACTTTCTGCCGCAGGTGAAGGGGAGGAGAAAGAGTTGCTTGAGCCAACAGCATAGCGCCCTCACACACGTCAGTCATAACTGCTGAATAGAATTAAATGTTGCTGAAACTAAATGTGTGTGAAGTTATAAGTCCGCAGGGTTTACAAGGGAAATTCGTATAAGTACTCTGTGGAAGGAAGGTAGATGCTCCACACCTACATTGCTATAGGTCAATGGATTTCAATTACCTCAAGGAAGGAGAGAGAAAGGATGAAAAGAACGGCCTCTCTTGGTCACAGATGGTTATTAACCATCAGATGAAACACTTAGTTTTTCTTTGCCCTTCCTTGCTGATGAACACCCAGTTAGGCAATGATACAGTTCCTTAGGTAGGCGATGAGATGCTCACAGCAGGAAAGAGAGGACAAGATATGTTGGAACTAATCCCTAAAAGTTGTCAGTGCCTAAAGTAAACAAAGTTGGACCTAATTCATGGAATAAATTGAAGAGAAATTAGTATCATTGTTTGAAAAGTGCAAGAAATAAAATATCTAATCTAATAAAAGGGAAACATGCAAATTGACCATACCTTCACTACACCCACCAGCCATGCCCACCAGGCAAACAGGAGCAAATATGCAAATTAACCCAACTAAGATGGCGGTGGCCACGAAGCTGGAGTGAGCAGGAGGCTTGAGTTGCCCCCGGCAATGGAGGAAGCCAAGCTTCCCGCCTGCCCTGCCAGCCCTGAGCTCTGCTCAAGGCTATAAAGTTTCAATTATAGAAGATAAATAAATCCCAGATACCTACTTCCAGCCGGCCGTGGCCAGCCTGAAAGCAGCCATCAGCCACTCACTCAGGCTGGCCAGGCACCCAAGCAGGACCCCCCCACCCTGAAGAAGCTGTGGCCAGCCTGAAAACAGCCCTCAGACCCTCACCCAGGCTGGCCAGGCACCCCAGCGGGACCCCCACCCTGATCCAGGACACCCTTCAGGGCAAACCAGCCAGCCCCCACCGGTGCACCAGGCCTCTATCCTATATAATAAAAGGGTAATATGCAAATTGACCCTAACAGCAGAACCACTGGGAATGACTGGTCACTATGACACACACTGATCACCAGGGGGCAGATGCTTAATGCAGGAGCTGCCCCCTGGTGGTCAGTGCGCTCCCACAGGGGAGCTCTGCTCAGCCACAAGCCAGGCTGCCAGCTGCCAGCACAGCGGTGGAGGCGGGAGAGGGTCCCTCAGCAGCGCTAAGGATGTCCGACTGCAGCTTAGGCCTGCTCCCCGCTGGCCATCCCCCACTAGACATCCTGTGAGGGCTCCCAGGCTGCCAGAGGGATGTCTGACTGCCAGCTTAGGCCCGATCCCCCAGGGAGTGGGCCTAAGCCAGCAGGTGGACATCGCCCAAGGGGTCCCAGACTGCGAGAGGGCACAGGCCAGGCTGAGGGACCCCCTCTCGAGTGCACAAATTTTTGTGCACCGGGCCTCTAGTATAGTTAATAAGAATATACTGAGTGCCTAACTGGGTTCTGGGCTCTGTCCTGATTCCTTCTCCTCCAGGATCTTATTCATCATCACAACAGCCCACCAAGGGTCACAATTGACTGACATCATGGAAGTTCAAGCACCACAGAAACTTCAACAGGGAGCTGACCACACAAGAATCAACCATGAACCAGTGAAAAGTTCCCTGAGGAATTTAGGAAATAGAGAACTCAAAAGGGACAATATGTGTTAACCTGGGCTATTTTGACCATGTGTAGAGGTGTAGAGTTCTTTTGTTTTATATGGGCATTTTGGAAGTGGGATGGTATTAACAATAAATATGATTTAATTACAGACTAGCATGTTGGGAAATGTATGTACAAGATTTTGGTGAAATATATGTATTTTGTACTATTAGAAAACATTTTTAAATCAAGAATTATTTTCTTAACAGAAAATATTGAAGAACCACAATATACACCTAAATCATTTTTGTTAAAAGTGGAAAGCCATCCAAATGAAGTCATCCTTCCCTCTTCAAAGAGCCCACTAAAATGAAAGCAAGGAGGGAGGAAAGTAGAAACTCCAATGACAAAGAGAACAGTGAGAGGCCATCAGCAAAAGACAGATTTCCAAAAGCGTCTGGCAGTTGGCAAGCAGTGGAAGGAGGGTCATTGATGTAATAGAGCAGAGGGCCTGGCCTCCCAGAGCTTCCTGGGTGGGGAAGCAGCTGCGGAGGGGTCATTTTGCACCTTGGGAACTGAAAATGCTCCAGACTTGACAACACCAGATACAACAGGTCTGGGAGGGGGGTGCGGGACTGATGAAGGACTGTTTGAAAGTCTCTATGCACACAGCAGGCCAGGCCACCAGGCATCCTCCCTGCAGTCAAATGACAGGAGGGCTCATCAATATAGGCAATCAATATTCTTTTATCCTCCGTGTGTTTTTCCTTGCTGGTCCCTCTGCCTTGGTTGTCTCATCTGGCTGACTCCCATTAATCTACCAAAACTGGCTGATATGACCCAGCGATTCCACTTCTGTGTATATATATCTGAAGAAACCCAAATCACTAATTTGAAAGAATAGGTACACCCCTAGGTTCATCACAACATTATTTATTATAACCAAGATATGGAAACAACCCAACTGCCCATCAATAGGCAAGTGAATTAAAAAGGGGTGGTACATATACACAATGGAATATTACTCAGCCATAAAAAGAATGAAACCTCATAATTCTCAACAGCATGGATGGACCTACAAAGTATTATGCTAAGTGAAATAAGTCAGTCAGAGAAAGACAAATACCATATGATTTCACTTATATGTGGCATCTAAAGAACAATATAAATGAGCAAACAAAACAGAAACAGGCTCATAGATACAAAAAAAAAACAACAGACTGATCATTACCAGACTGGGTGAAAAAGGTGAAGGGATTAAGTACAAGTTGACAGTTACAAAATAGTCATAAGGATGTAAAATAAAGTACAGCATAGAGAACATAGTCAATAATATTGTATTAGGTATGTATGGTGTCAAGTGGGTACTGAGAATATCAGAGGGAACACTTTGTAAAGTATATGATTGTCTAACCACTATGCCGCACACCTGAAATTAATAAAAATAATACTGAATGTAAAAAAAAAAGACTTGGCTGAGACAGCTTCTTCTCCATGGCGACCACTTTCCTAATTCTACCATCACACATAACATTTCAGAGATTATTTTTGTGAAGTGGAAGAGAGAAAAACAAAGATTGAAGAAAGCCACACATCTGGACTGAGCTGCAAAGGAAGAATGAATATTACTTCAGAGGAATGCCAGGTGCATAGGTTTTTGCATCTCAAAATCCATCTCTGCATGAAGAAGATGTCTCAAAGTCTCCAGTAGCAACTACCATCAGTGTTTGGCTTAAGACAAGGGTCTCAGGCTTGCATGTGGGCATCACATTCTTTTTCATCTGGGTCAACCTCCAATTGATGTAAGCTGCTCATTCCTCAACGCCTCCAGGAAGTAGACTTTGGCAATCAGCTAAGAGCAGCCCAAAGCAGTTACTGTCACTTAGAAGGGTTTAGAAGAGACTCTCTGGTGTTTTAACTATCAAAAGCCTAGAAAACAACAAGCACACTACCATTAGTTAATTTAACATAAGCCCTTTATTGTGGCCTCTTATGAATCTCCTGAACATCCTCACAAATTAAAAAAATAAACCACTTTAGCCACTGAACTCTCTATCAACACTGATGGACCCACTTCAGGGGTCTCTGTTGAGTCAGGCAGTACATTAGCATTATAAAATTTGTTTCTATTAAGAGCTTTTGGATCCTGGTCTGGCTGAGAGTGAGACATTGGGACACTCTGGTGACATTATTTGTGGCTGACCCATACAAACCTGTGTAAGCAGTTCCCTCCAACCCCTCCAGCGCTTCATGAAATGAGGTAGG